GATACCCTTCCTTGCATATACAGTCCTCCATAGAAGTACTTCCTGGTGAAGAAGTGTGATTCTCATCAGGACATGAGGTGCAGGTGCTTATCCCACCTGGTGATCCTTCAGGCTTGTAAGTTCCAGATGGACAGGCTTTAAAGCAAAATATATATAATAGAGGCAAGCCAGGATTAGGCTAGTAAAACAGACAGCTATGCAATATCTGTAGTTTTACTCCCTGATTTCCAAAACTGATGACAGAGGAGGCCCTATATACTTTATTCACAGTTTGCATCAATGTGTAGCTGAGGTGGTATTCAGTCAGTTCTCTCTGGTTCAGGTGAACCGGTAGCAGAGGCTGTGGGAGGCCAAGGTAATGCACAACCTTCTGTTCATGTGCAGAGGGCACTGGTGGGTTGCCAATTTTTTACTACCGGTTCAGGCAAGCTCGCAACACTTCTGCACATGCACAGAAGCGCCCGAGCGGGTGGGCGGAGCCTCCCGCCGCTACTACCAGTTTGCCCGATCTGGCCCGAACCGGGAGCAACCCACCTCTGGGAGAAGGTGGCACGTGCGCTCCCATTTGCGAACCGGTAGGGATGGTAAGTGCTACATCATGATACCATTGTATCAGAATAAAGTCAGTCATTCTTTGGGAAAACCAACAGTAATATGTAGGTAGGAAGTTTGTATTATACAAACTCTTTTGGGCTTTGGGGTTTTATGTCTCAAATTAATAAATTATATTTATTTCATCTTGTTCATCTGGTCCCAATGTATTACATTTTAAATCTTCCTCACCTTCATTTTTAAAAACAATTTCAGTGTGAAGGGAAAATCAATATAAGGAGAACGTATTTAAGAGCTACATATTAAAAATGCTTCTATTTAGGGAACTCATTTAGAAGTGGGAAATAATCAGTATACATATGTCATTTTCCTCCCCATCAAGTGCTAATAGCTGGTCACATTAAAGACTTTTGGCTCTCCTTTGCTTTGCAGAGCCTATTATGTGTTCTATTATACTATATCACTCTTGTGCAAAGTGAAGTTGCTACATCAAAAATGTCACTAGATTTTCACTACCAGCTGGTCTTCTGGTGGAGAGGTTCAAAGGAAAAAAAGTTATTTAATTGCTAGGAGCAATCAGAAAATTTGCACACATGTGGACACGCACACACACACACACATAATCAGTGGAAAAATTCATTAAACTCTAAAATTAAGGTTGAAACAAGAAAATAAACATTTTAACATCTATAAAATAAAATAATGAAACATTAAAATTTCCCAATGAGTGAAGATCAGCTTATTTTATCATCTGCTTTGGAATAGTTTCTTTTATTTAAAATGAATAAAAAAGCTTAAAAATTGAATTTGAAAAAATAACCAATGACTATAATAAAGTTGATAAAGTATAGTTAGGAAATGATGAGCAGTTTTTAATAAACTATACTTGCTTGTTATTGTATTAATTGCACAAAGCAAATTTCCTATTTTGATTCAATGTTTCTGTTCCCCATTATTACAAAGTGTTTTGTAATAATAAACCTCAAAGTTGGGTTTTTTAAAAAAGAATGCTTCATTTTTATAAAGGGATGACAAAAGTAAAGGTAAAGGTTTCCCTTGTCCAGTCATGTCAAACTCTAGGTGGTGGTGCTCATCTCCATTTCTTTGCTGAGGACGCTAGCAAGGTCTGAAGACATTTCAGTGGTCATAAGGCCAGCATGACTAAATGCCAAATGCATAAAATGCTGCTACCTTCCCACTGAAGTGATACCTATTTATCTACTCGCATTTGTATGCTTTTAAATTGCTAGGTGGGCAGGAGCTGGGGCACATAATGGAAGCTCCCCAGTGGTGGGTTTCAATTTATTTTACTAACGGTTCGCTCATGCGTGTGCACTCACACATCGCTTCAGCGCATGCGCAGAAGCATCCAGGCAGGTGGGCGGAGCCTCCCACCACCACCACTACCAGTTTGCCAGACCCAGGGCAAACCGGCAGAAATCCACTTCTGGAGCTCCCCCCATGTCATGGCACTCAGGTCTTTCTAGCTGACAAGGTCAGCGTCTTTAACTGCTGAGCCATCATGCTGGCGCCATTAATAGCAATAGCACTTAGACTTATATACTGCTTTACACAGTGCTTTACAGCCCAAAGTGCTTTACAGAGTCAGAATATTGCCCCCAACAATTGCCCTTAACAAACTAAGTATTGCTACCAAACATGGTAACTCAGGCAGTTATCCAAGAGTTCTGTTCCAGGGATTTATGAAGAAACTGATGTTTTCAATGTTAGATTGTGTGCTGCACTTGCACAAAATGGAAACTGTTGTTTTGCAAACCTATACAAATTATGGCCTGTTTGCATTAAGGTAGATTTACCCAAGTCAATGCTTTTGTTATCCAGATTCTTGCAGCATATACCAAGCTGTTTACAATCCCTTTAATATTATTTATAAAAAAAGATTTAATTCAATTTTAGCAGAATGTAAATTAGGATTATCTTCATGGGCTTAGATTTAAAAATAAATTTTACATTAGAATGCCAATATGACTTATATACAATAAGCTTAATATAAAATGCCAGAATTGATTTCAAATGAATCAATCCAAAATTGAATATTATCAGTTTCTGGAGTGATCACATTAGCAAAAACATATGCTATCGTGGACACTTTATTACATTGATACCTATTTTACAATACAGTAGCTACAGTTTTATCAATCCCTATGTCTTTTTCTTACAAAATTTCATCCTATTTTACTCTTTCAATCTATATAGTGATTTTTAAAGGTTTTTTAATGTTCGGTGGCCATTCAGCAAAGATAGTTATCACTACATAGTATTATCTTTGCCCCCCAGCTAGTGTAGTGTCCCAACCAGGAACGCGCAGTCACTAGAGGCAAGGGAGGCGGGGCTTCACCAGTCTCCTCAGGGAAAGGAAAGAATTTTAAATAATTTTTTAAAAATAATTAAAGCCAGG